CTTGAAATGTCTTTGTATTCTTTTAAAGACGGTTGCCTCGTGATGAACGTACTCATGGATCCTGCTGAACCCCACGAAAAAGACTTCATCCCGCATCACTTTGGTCCTCGGCGGACACCATCTGTCCCTTGGACGCCATCCCATTGGCGGAATGAAAAGCGTTCATTCCCGGGCCTCTCGGAGCTCAAGCGCGGCGCTTCTTTACAACTCATTCGATGCCTTTCTCCCTTTCACCGACAATTCAACCACAAAATCGGTGCAGAACAAACAGACGCCGTCAAATGAAACTGCAATGAAAAGCTTTTTGAAAGCGCCGATCTCAAACGTCGTCACGGGAAAGCGGACAATGGCAATTCGCCGTCTCACAAAAGGCCGCCGGTTTCCCTCTCGCCGTTCCCATTCCTTACGAGTCAACAAAGCAATCGCTTGCAAGACAAAAGAGACATTTTGGCGAGCTCCCTTTCATCTTCAAGCGATGTGCTGTGAGACGATCGCTTGGCTGGAGGGCACAAAAGCTGGCAATCAGCCAAGTAGCAGCGCTCGCTTGGCATTTGGGAGCGGGAGGACAAGTCGCACGTGGCCCAAATGAGCTCCTTCAAAACGCAGCGGCAGTCGTTCTGTCTCCGTCTCGTAAAAACGGTTCCATTTCCTGAATGGCGGCATGACCGCGGATGATGACTTGACCCGATTTCATCGCTCCTGTTTTGCCTGCCTGCTCGCTTGGGCCCTCCTTTTTTGCCACATCATCGACCCCTTTTCCGCCCAAAACACAAAACTCGGTCCTGGGCTTAGTTGTTGCGTCACAAATTCTTCAGAAGAACGTGTTTGGTTTTCAACCGGCAAAGAGCCGAGTAGAAGCGACGTCATGACGTCATCGTAACGCATCCGAATGTTACGTTGACGTTAACCCAAGAGCGCCTGCGCTATTAATAATAATCATCATAATAATGCGCAGTTGGCATCTACGAGGCGATTTAGCAGAGCATCGATGACACTTGTAGGTTGTATATTACAGTCAAGGACCTGCAATCAGCAAACGCTTCGATCTTTCCAAATCATCGGCGATGATGACGAGGCTGGCCGCGAGTCGGAAATCGCGTGCCATCCGGGCACATCCGCCGTCGCTCTTCTGGTGGGACGCAATTGTTCACCGCCCAACCCTTGGTGCAAAACGTCCGCGTGTCTGGGGAGTTGTTCTTCGACGTCTGCGAGCGTCAGGATAACCCCGCCCACCGTCCCCCGCGGCCCTGACATAGTTGGTGTCGAAGTCCGGCCCGACAAACAATCGGGGCCAAAGCATCGGAGCGAGAGCCGATTTCGGTGTTGGGAAAAGGAAGCACTGGTGCTCACTTGGGCCGCAGCGGGCCCGAGGTGGAAGAGGGCCAATCTGGAGCAGTTCCCAATCGAAATGGATCCACGAACAGACGGATCTGCATCTCTTTCCAAAAGACATTTTCTCGAGGGTACGATGGCATTCAAGGACATAACGATCTCTTAAATGGAACTCGACTCGATTCGGCGGGATTGCAGTTGGCCCGGATGCGGTACAGCCGTCGCTCTCGTTCATTCGGATGCAAAAACACGCAGAAGCTCTCCAAACGATGACGTTCAAAGAAACAACAAGTTATACGATACGATACGATGCGAGGAGGCGACGCTCTTAAAACGATTCGCTTGCTCAAATCAAAACGGATTCTCCGACGGCAGTTGGTTTTTGTTCACTAAAGCGAATCGACTTTTCCACGTGCCATCTGGCCAATTCTTGGCACACAAACGAGTGAAAAGTCATCCGTCCGTCCGTCCGGCCGGCCATATATGTCCCCTTTCGAAAGTCAAGTCGCTTGCAACGTGCGCGCGTGTCCAGATGGGGCAGCGCTTTGCCAAAGTATTATTGCTCAATAATGCTCAGAAGGGAAGGAAACAGATGTCCGCTGTAAAAGCTTCGCATCCCATCGAGACACGAGGACAGCGAGGCCACGCCGAGGCTTTGGGAAGGCTTCAAAATTTCAAGTGTGTCCGTTTTGGGTTTTTTTTTTTTTCTTTTTACGAAACATGACAGGAAAAGTCCGGTTGATGTTTCCGAGGTGACTCCCACCCGCAACTCCCGACGACACGCAAATAAAGGTGCTGGAGCTGAAAACAACTTTGGGGGAGCAAATAAACATTTATTGGCGGCGGCACAGTTTTATCCTTTTGGTTCTCTCCCCTCAATATTGCAATTTCATCTGCAATTATTTCGTCAATGTCCAGGTATTTTTTTTCCCCCCAACCATAAGAAATAAATGAATCGACGATCAATCAGATTAATTAGAAATCCACCTTTAGCTTTTGCAGCTGAAGCTTCGGCTGAAATGAAAGCAAATGCTTCATGTGCAATTGAGCATTCGGGACGGGGAAAAAGTCGATTCGAGATACAAGCGATGCGGCTTGCTGACTGGAGCTTGTCAGTCAAAGTCAAGGGAACGCCGCGTCCCGAAAGTTTGAATTTGAAGCTGAAGAGCGAAAGGCTGAGCGAGAGCTTCTTGGCAAGCGCGCCCATCGCATGACGGCTTCCTGCCGACGTTGCTCAATCGACGTCGCTGTCCCGAGTCCAGACGGAGACAAAGCCAGAGAGGAAAGAAGGCCACGTGTTGCGCGGCTCCTTCGTCTCGATGCGCCCGCAGTGTGACGATCGGCGCTCGGAAACCAGCCAAGGCGTCCCGTGGCTCGCTTCGCTTTGTTTTCCCGAAAGAAAGTCCGAGAGAGAGAGAGAGAGAGAGATGAGGCGTGTTCTTGTTGCAAAATGTTTGTGAACGGGAGCAAAAATAACTCGCGCCGTTCAACGGATGAAAAGGTCAACTAAAAATACCATTTCCAAGTCTATTTTAAAACGTCGCCGTGGATTCTTCGAACGCATCATTTCCCAAATGCGGCTCCGAAAAAGTGGTTCACCGCAGGCATCGCAGTCAGACTTGCGGGAGCCGCACCCGAAAACCATTTTCTCCATTTTCTGCATGCACGTCACTTGCACGGTGGAATTCCACGAGCGACTCGGCAGTGGGCGAGTGAGTCGCTTGGGACTCGCTTGAAACTTGCAGGTTGAGACTTGCGGCGAAGTCATACGCGACGATGACACGAGGCCACTCCTCGGCCTCTCCGCTTAATACGCCGCTCGCCGTTGTCTCCTCTCGCAGCCATTTGAGCGTGCGCTCGTTAGCATGCGTGCCGGCATGCTGACGCTGCCACGCAGATGAGCGCGCTACCATTTCACCCGTTTTCCTGCGCTGCATTTCATATCCGTCACGGTTGGCATTAAGATGCGGCAAAGGTCGCGCTGATCGGCGGCGGTTGCACGGGGTGAGGCAAAGCGCGCGCGCGCTGAATGGGCAACGGCAAGGTGGGGAAAAAGGAAGTCTGTCTTTGAATCTGAAAACAAGGGCAGACAAACCTGTTTCACGCGCAAGACTTGACTCGATATCGATGTAGCACGGGTCCATGATTGGGGATACGCGAGATATATTTTGCTCATTATTCCTTGTTTGCGTCGTCACAGACCACAGTCAATCCAACAACCAAACCGACCGTGACATTCTCGTGAGCAACGAAAGAAGAAAAGAGATCGACGACGTGTGGTTTGTGGCGACGCATTTTGGCATCTCGCGTATATGAACACACTCTGCCGTTTACGATTTCTCATGTGTCAAAAGTCTGAACTGCCAAGATGGCCGTCGTCGGGCCAAGCGGTGACGTGCGTAGAGCGCGGCACCGAGCCGCGTTTTTAAACTTTAACATCCGCGAGCTCGCCCGACTGCGTGTCGACCGCGGCGGATCACACAGTTGGGCGGAGTTGGCTGGCCGGGCTGGAAAAAAAAAAAACAAAACAAACAAAAAAAAGCACCAATTCCCAAATGTTGAGAAATGAGGCGGATGCTTCTGTAGCCGGACAAGTCGCAGATGGACCGAGCGGGTCCAATCAGTGACAACAGATGTCGCAATTGTCTCGTGTCCTTTCCTGGCAGACGGCAACGCAATCGTCTTGCGCGGGCAGCCAATAGCTTATGAAACACTCTGCAAAGAATCGTGTGATTTGGCGCCACGGATAGGAATCCAATTGGAATTTTGGTTTTTTTCTGGGTAGGGGAGTGCATTCAAAGCCGAGACCTATTTTACTTTATCTTGTGTCTTGTTCGACGCTCAAGTAACTCTTGTTTTGAAATGACCTCATGAGTCCAATCCGGCGGCTTTCGGACTTTTCCAAGTACAGTCAGCGCAGATGGACCGAGCGGGTCCAATCAGTGACAACAGATGTCGCAATTGTCTCGTGTCCTTTCCTGGCAGACGGCAACGCAATCGTCTTGTGCGGGGGGCAGCCAATAGCTTATGAAACACTCTGCAAAGAATCGTGTGATTTGGCGCACGGATAGGAATCCAATTGGATTTTGTTTTTTTTCTGGGTAGGGGAGTGCATTCAAAGCCGAGACCTATTTTACTTTATCTTGTGTCTTGTTCGACGCTCAAGTAACTCTTGTTTTGAAATGACCTCATGAGTCCAATCCGGCGGCTTTCGGACTTTTCCAAGTACAGTCAGACCTCAGTTTTCGACCATAATCCGTTCCAGAAGGCTGTTCGAAACCCGAAACCACGCTCTTTAAAAAAAAAAAAAATTTTCTTGAACACGTCTGCTTACAATGGAACGCTACACGAGGAAGCGTCACTTCCTCGTCTACCCGAGGAAGCGTCACTTCCTCGTGTAAGGAAGGCGAGAGGAGTCAAGTGGCGCATTCAAGTGCGCTCAGTTTGGTCGAGAACCAATTTTCGGTCGTAATCCGAGGCATAAAAAAAAAAAACTCTACATTTTTGGTTGAAAACCGATTTGGTCGAGAACAGAGACGCATGCTCTCTTGATGTTCAACGCACGAATGCTCCACAAACTCCACTTTTGTGAATTTACCGGCCCAATCGTTTGAAAACCGTTTTTCATAAGCGCCGCCGACGTAAAGGCAGATGATGAATTCACCGACCTGAGCCGAGATGTCGGCGTCCCTCTTGTTTTGGCCCGGAGAGCGCCATCTTGCCGTCACTGTCCGTCCTCTCTGTAACCCTTTGGGAAAGCAAAAAAAAAAAAAAAAAACAGAACACATCCAGAAGATTAACAGAGTGTAGTCTGTTCTGTGACTTCCAAATGAAACACTGTGGTTCTTTTGTATTTTTGCCCACCTCGCCAAACAATAACTCGTTTGGCCGAGAAGAATCACGAGCCTCGCCTCACACGAGCGGAAAACAAATCTTTAAGTGAGGAGTCACACTGGAAGATGTCATTCGAGCGGGAGAGCAACGAGCGCAACAAAAGAATGCAAGGGCCCCATTTGCATCGCAAAACAACCGAGACTGGCAACGAGCCTTTTTTGCGCTCAGAGGGAATTGGGGGGGGGCTCCATTGCTGATGGACTTGCGACTTCGAGGTAGGGCAGACCAGATGTGGAGCAAAACGGCACGATTATTCGCAGGGAGTACGGAAAAGAATCCAGAAAACGTCAGCGGAGGCAGTCGGGCCCGGAACGGCTCCCGACAGGCGAGGGCAAACATCGGAGCCAAGAAAAAGACCAATTGAAAAGGAGGGGGGAGCTGCTTGCCAGCCCCGGACTCGGGCCGTCTTTTGGAGGCGCACATTTGCATAAAATTCAATTGCGGGGAACGGAGACGCTGATGCAATCTCAAAAACACAAAGTACTAGAAAGCGGAGGCAAATGGATTTGCATCAAAGAAGGAGAATGCAGACGCATCCAAAAATGAGAAAACACGCATTTCTCGTGCATTTGCTGCCGGAGGCCGGGTCATTGCCCCCTCCCCAAAAAAAGAAAGAAATCAACTGTTATGACTCGTTGCCGTACGAATCAAGAGAATTTGACACCCGGTGCATCTGCGGGCTACAAATGTAAAAAAAAAAAACCTTGGCCAGGACGGTCAACGCTCCCTTCCGCCGGCGCCGCACGCTGACGACGCCACGTGAAGGGCAACCTGCGCGGGTGGGAGAAATCGTTGGATGTTCAATTGCTTTTTCTCGAAGCAGCAAAATGGATGAAAAACACAACACTGGTGGAGGGGAAAAAAAAAAAAAAGAAAGAAATGCCCTGAATGGGAGATTTCATTTGGACGCCATAACGGCTGACTTCAAGTTCTCCAGAAATGGAGCGTCTCTCTGAGCAAGTCAAAAAACTTTGACAAAATGTGGCATGTCCTTGGGGAGTCAAAAAAAAAAAAAAAAAACCACCAAGGAAATGAGGAAAAAAAAAAAAAAAAGAAAAGAAAGAAATGCCCTGAACGGGAGATTTCATTTGGACGCCATAACGCCTGACTTCAAGTTCTCCAGAAGTGGAGGGTCTCTCTGAGCAAGTCAAAACATTGACAAAATGTGGCATGTCCTTAGGGAGTCATTCAAAAAAAAAAAAAAACACCAAGGAAATGAGGCCGCCGATTTGAGGAGGAACTTTCAACTTCCAAGCTTGAAGCAAGCTGGCGCTGAGGAGTGCGGGAACGAGGCAGACGGGATCGTTGGGAGCTCTTCGGCGCTCACGGTGAGCTCTCTGGGTCGCCAAAAAGGTCGATGCCACGCTCCGGTGACATGAGCAAGTGTCCGTTTAAAAAAAGAAAAGACTTGGAGAAGATGGCATCGACCATGAGGATTGCAAGCCTTTATGGACGATGCTTGATCGTGATTCGAAAAGGTCGATGCCACGCTCCGGTGACATGAGCAAGCGTCCGTTTAAAAAAAGAAAAGAGAAGAAAAGCCTTGGAGAAGATGCCATCGACCGCCCACTCACTCACTATTGACATTCGGATGCACGGCGAGAAAGTCATGGGAACAAATTGCAAAGTGAAAACATTTCTTCGTCTTTGGACATGCAGAGGCTGTCGACAGTTTTTTCCGGCGGTGAGCACCTGACATTTTCATTTTGCCTGTCGAATACGCGCAGCCATCCGGCCTCCAGCCTCTTTGACACTCAAGCGGCCACATTTCATTTTCCATCACTCGGCCATTTCCTTCTGTGCCTCCCCCCTGCCCCCCACCGGGGGCTCTCGGGTCATCCCGGCACTCCAAAGTCACTCACACAGTGCGGCCAGACCTACTTTAGCGGACAGTCACACCGACTAGAGCGACGAGACCAGCAGGGAGGGCCACCGTCCTTGTTGTCTTCTTGACAAATGTTTGAACGGGCCATTTCCCTTTTGTCAAAGCGCTGCTGCAAAGGCGTGTGTGTGTGTGTGTGTGTGTGTGTGTGTGTGTGTGTGTGTGTGTGTGTGTGTGTGTGTGCGTGTGTGTATCCATATGTCCATCCATTTTCTGAACCGCTTCATCCTCACAAGGGTCGCGGCGGCTATATATGTGTGTGTGTGTGTCTATATATCTCAGTGCGCCACAAATATTTGTGGCTCTTTGCAGAGGATAAAGACCAGGAGTACTGTTCTAATATTTTTGGAAATGGGTTGTTGCACTGAACCGGTTGCCCTGCAATTGGCTGGCAACCGGTTCAGGGTATCCCCCGCCTACTGCCCAAAGACGGCTGGGACAGGCTCTCCAGCACCCCCCACGACACTTGTGAGGATAAAGCGGATGGGAAAGTGGATGGATGGCTGGAGGGTTGTTGCACTGTTTGCGTGGAATCCGGTGCTTCCAGGGGTTGTATTGTGGATTCACTGTCATGCTACGGAAAACGCAGTGGTTCACATCGCCCTGCGTCGTGACAATTTACACACTTGCCAAAATGAGCCCTTCTTGAGGGAACGCCTAACGAGCGATGGAATAGCCCCAACCTGAACTCTGTCCTTTGCTACCATGGCGACCGGGGAGGCGGCACCCGGGCCTTCTGTCCAGAAGATGACAGCACTTTCACTTGCGGAGCCATACACTCCACCGCCAACGGTGAGTAAAGAAAAGTTCGCGTACTCAAACGAACGTGACCGACCTCCTTACGATTCTTTTTGGCGCCTCATTCGGCGCTTTGGATCAGAGCGCAGACGGGACAGCGTGAAGAGCAGAGGAGGAAGCATTGAGAATGGAGAGCGCTGCCCAACTCCAGCACTCCACCGGTATTGACACACCGCCCAAAAAACTCAATTGCGACGAACGCCGCGGAGCCTGCGCCAGCCCACCGGAGGAGACGAGCTCGCGTGTCGGGACGAGGAAGGCGCGGCCGTCGAGAAGTCGAAGCGGGGCCGGAAAGATTCGGCTGCGATCGCGGACCAGCACGGACCTCGATTTGACCGCAACAAGGCAAAGGGAACGCTGCGCTTTTATGAATGGCGGCGATTCTTGCGCTCATCCAGCGGTTCACATGACTGGACGTGGAGCACACTCGGTGCATTGCCAGCACATTCAAACCACAGGGAGTCCTCTGTCTGCAACTGAGTTCCGGCCCTCCGCTGGCAGCGCGTCCACAAATCGATCGCCACGCTATTTTCACAAACGGGACAAACACGTCTTGACTCGGGCGGAACAGTTTTGAAAACTTGAAATCTCATTGGGATTATTTTTGTTTTCCCCCTCAAGATTACAATTTAAAATGAAATTTTTTTTTTTTCAAGGTCCGCTTGCCGTTTATTTTTTTGTTTATCCAATTTTTTATTTATTTTACAAACGCTATGGGGACATTCATCTGTATTTCAAGAAACAAGTTCACATTAATTATCCACCAATGTTTTTGGTCTTGCGCCAAAATAAAAGCAAATGAACCATGGACGAATGTGAGAGAGTCGTACGGAGCACTTTGACTTGGAGAGTTTGAAATTCGCGACAAAAAAAAAAAAGATACAATGACACTCAATATTTAAACCTTAAAAACACAATTGTAGGCTATAAGTGGCAAAAAAAAAAATGAGTATGATGGTTAACTGAGCACAAGGACGTAAATTAGAATTTGGGCCACAGCAATTTTTTGGCTGGCTGACTGACAAAAAATAAAAACAACAAATAAAATAAAAATTATTTTTTTTAAATCTCTGAGTTCTTTTACGCTTACAACAATAAAGATATTTATTGCAGGCTGAAGATTTGAATCTTTTACACGATTTTTTCCTTTGGTATTTAACTTTACATCAGAGAGAAAAGTCATCCAAAATATCTGTGGATTTTGGAGGGAGAGGAATGCTTGAAGGTCATAATTTATGTTTTATATGGCGTTATCATGTCGGGGGGGAAGGGGGAAAAAAAAGAAATGGCTTTTATGGGAATGGCAGTCGTTGCCTTTGCTGATCTGGACCACGAATGCTGTCTCTTTGCGCTTACTCGTTCCGAGACGACCGCACACGCACTTCGCAGGAACACTGAGTCACAGGCCATTGTCATGTTTTGCATTGGAAATATTTACACAATGACATAATTTTTGCCCATTTTTGGAAGTTTTTACAATGCTTGCAACTTGCGTAATTCGTAACATTCTGACACCATTTAAACGGGTCACTTGTGTTCTTTTATTCGAGCGTTTTGATGCGACATTGAGCGTGCTGACTAAAACAAACCAAAACTGAGAATTTTGGGGTCAGCACCGCTCAGCTTGTGATCCTAGAATCGCCCCTGCGTGCAAACGCCGTTCGCAGCCTCGAAAAGCGTCAGTCGGGGTCGTCGTAACCGAGGCGCCCACGAGCAATTTGGTGAGCTCGAGCCACCAAATTCTTCCTTTTAAGGACAAAGAGAGCAAAAAGAGGCAACGGGGAGCAGCGGCCAAGTCGAAGACGCCAATTTGCGACGGACTTGTTTCGGGCAGCAGCCACGACGGACGCACAACCGCCAACGAAAAGACGAACAAACTTGGCGCTTCAGAAAGTTTCTCCGGCGGCAAACGCGTCGTATAATCCGTCCGAAAATACGCTGGAAGGAGTCTTTTGAATTATTGCTGTTTTGTGTGTGTTGTTGTTGTTGTTGTTCCGGTCAGCAGCATCCACGCGCAACTGGTTGACTCCCAAGTTTGACTCACCGTCTCCGCTGGCTCTTCCCTGGGCGCCGTTCAGCGAGAACAAAGCGAGAAACAAGAGCAGAGAGGCGCACGCCGCCGGCGAGATGTGCTCATTTTTCTGCCTGTGTTTACTGTACATCCCGGTGAGCCTCCGTGGTGCCGCCGCGGCCGCCCCGTCCTCCCCCCGTCTTCGTCTTCGTCCTCGCCCCTCGCCCCGCTGCTCAACTCTGCCTAGCCTGGGTGCCTCCTCTCCGTTCTCCAGTTCCTCTGAGTGTTGTCAAGCTAGCTGGAGGAGACAACAACGTCATCCGTCTTGAACTTTCAAAATAAACGATCTTGTAGGTGTCGTCCACGAGGATAGCTTTAATTGTGAAGTCCAAAGTACTTGCTTCGCACCATTTTTAAACTTGATAAGAGGTGAGCTTCATTAGCCAGTTCCCTCCACGCTGAGAAAAAGGGAGGAATCATCCATGTAACGAGTTCCATTTTCCATCCGACGTTTGCTCACAAACACAAACACTTTATCCTGTTGAATGTTTACATAGTTGGACTTGGATGTTTTGAAAAGATGCAGCATGAAAAATGAATCCATTTTTACATTGAATGATTTCAATATCAACCCACAATCGATTTAGATCGTATTAATAATTGTAAAAATCTAGACAAACACCATGAATTGTCCGCCAGGGGGCTTCCCACGGGAATGCCCGTATTTAGACGTATTCAACGAGTTTGATGCTTGGCTACCGACGACTTTTATTTCTTGAGGTATCGTCATGAGAATATACATTTTGACCGAAAATTATTTTTTTCCCCAATTTACTGTGAATTAGGGCGATTGTTATTACATTTGTATCTTCAAACCCCAATGTGGTCGTGAAGCCCATCAGGCGAGGCGTTCGAGGGACTCGTGGCAACTGATAAATTCATGCAAAGCAATTTCGAAAGGTGCTGGGACTGAAAATTCGGTTAGGAGATGTTTTATTTTCTCATGGCTGGTTAAAAGTTTGAGCCGTCAATTAAAAACATTCTTGCACCTGCCAAACAGTGATTTCGTTCGAGGAGTACAGTATGCCAATCGGTTGAGGCGTTCAAGGTACTCGGGACAACGGTGGAAACGCTTTGGAACGGCAAAGCCCGTCATCATTTTAATAGATGTTCATTTAAGAATCTATCACCGTCATGATTTTAATAGACCACCATTTAGAATCTGCCTCTTACTTTTTACCGGCCAGGTAGCCACCTTTTGCCCAAAAAAAATGTTAATTCACATTAGTAGCCATCCATTTATTATTCGGGAATAATTTTTCACTGAATTCGTGGATTAAACCTAATTTTCTCAATAGGCTGAATAGAAGTATGTCTCATTCCATTGATCTCGTTGAAGATTGAACCGATTTTCTCGACTCGTGTTTGTCCTCATTCGTTTTTTTTTTTTGTCTCACTCAAGGGCAAGGGGAGGCTGACCAGAGGGATCATTAACCTGATTGAAAACCCTCCAAGCGCAAAGCTTTTAAAACGACCACATAAAAGTAACTATTAACCTGCCCAACCGCACACAACAATCCATGCATGTTTTTTCTTGGGCCATCATTCGTCCTTTACAGCGTGTCGCCTGATTTGCTGAATATACACAACTGCGACCCAAATACCATCATCATCATTTCGACCACATGACATGGACTAATTCTGTTGTTGAAAACAAAAAACAAACAAAAAAGATCCAGTTCATATCTTGTTTTATGAAATACTTTGCTACTCAGTATTTTAAAAGTACGGCTCAATAAACCGGTAATAATTATACGCTAGCTGTTGGCTGCAACACTAACTGGTCAAGCGATGTAAAAAAGCTGTTGATAAAATTGCAAAAGTACAAAACACTTGAAAGGAAAACATTCCTTACCCATGGTCACAACAATTAGCTTAATTTAATTTCTGCTCAGTCGTGGATGGGCGGTGTCAAATTCATATATGGAACTAAATATACACTATTGACACACACAACAAATTAAGGGATAACTTGTTTTTCAAATGCTAACCCGGGAAATGTTTGTATCATAATGGAATTTGAAAAACTGGTGGATTTTGCCTTTACGGGCTACATAAAATCATTTGGCAGCCCAGATCTGGCGCTCGAGTCTTGGGTTTGACACCTGTGCGCGAGATCACAAAGATGTGCTTGCAACGGGTCAGAGCACGTTCTTCCAAATGTCGGATGAAATAAAACTTACATGGCATCACAATCAGAGCCCAAAAGCTAATTTATCTGTTGCTATGGACCGCCAAGTCATTTCATTGAAGGTGGGCAGAAAAAAATCCTGCAATTCTGGAATGACCCAATGACTCTGGTCCACCATCACGACATTGAGCTTGTCTCGCCGTCAATTCAACGCCGAGGCCTTTTCCAGCCACGTCAAGCCAGCCATTTCCTCCAGAACCCGGACGGTGCGGGCCAAGCGGCTCAGGCCGTCGTCCTCCGCGGTGAGCTGGGGTGAGCACAAATCATCCTGAGGCGGGAGGAAAGAAAAAAAAAGTTGGTACAATTTTACAGATTGATGCAAATGTTGAATTTGAATGACAAACTTCAGTTTGATAGTTCAGTAATACTCACACAGGCAGGTCCAGCTCCCTTAAAGGCAAAATTGGGATATTTTGCGCATGTAGTTTTTATTTTTTTAATAATACCACCAAAAAAAGCAACATGTCAAAGTCCATTTTTAATACATTCTTCACAACAGGAGGGGAGAACAAATGTAGCAAATCTATTTGTAGAAACTTGAAAAAGGGAGTCTCAAAAGCGTATAAATATATAAGAGATAGCTGGGAATTTTTGCTCTATGGACATATTTCGGAGTTCAATTGGAAACCGGCGGCAAGGGCCAGGTCGACTGAAAAAATAGACATTTTGAATTCATACATAGAATGCAAACAGTAGGCCAAAACAAAGACCGAACAGTCGAAAAACAGCAGCGGGAGACAGCCGAGCTAACGGGACAAATGGAGAAAGCCGAGAAATCCACGTACAGCAGTGGTCATCCGTTTGACCTTGGTATCGATACAAAACAGTGCAGCGACTTCACTGACCTTAACTGTCTACGCGCAGTACGGCAGATACATTAGGTGCACATACGGAGCATCGGGCTCGCTTTGACCATTTTGCCCCACTTGGGATCCAAGTCAGCAAAAGACCGATTGTCGGATTGGAAATCGGCCTGAGTGGATAATGGGCGGCGCACACATATCGATAGCTGGACTGAATTTGTTTTGGGTTTTTTTTTGTGTCATCCATTTGAACTTGTCATCAATGCAGAAATGTTTCAGAAGCGTTTCAAATGTGCAGTAAGGCCGTGTTTGTCAACTAGACACGGGAGACTCTGTGGAGGGGATCAAGGATTTACTCATGGCAAAATAAAAGGGAAAAAATAAACCAAATCAATCTTTCGGTTATTTTAAGCCTAAATGGTGCAATATTGATCACGTTTAATTTCCCTTCGGAAGCTTTTGCGAGTGTTTTAGTAAAAACCTTGCAACAAAACCAACAAAACGAACTTCAAATTATAAAAAATATATATTATTCTCTTTACATTTATACAAAGTCAGCTGGTCGTCAAACATCACTGACATGTTGGAACAAAAATCTTTATAAGCATACACACGCGTGTGTATGTGTGTGTGTGTATATATGTGTGTGTGTGTGTGTGTGTGGTTTGTACCTTTAGAGTTTGGACACTAGTCAAAGTCTTTTCGGTTTGGAGGCACTCGGGTCTCATTTGTACATGTTGGAAATAGTAAAACCGATCTTAAAGTAGACATTCACAGTTCATCTTCAGCTCACACGGCCCCTTTTAGGATGCTCACTTCCTTTTTTCCAAGACCCAAGCAGTGCAAAAAATACAAATAAAAGAGAAAAAAAAATCTTAACACTAAGTTGTCACCCTGTATAAAACGGACATTCTCGGGAGAAAATGCAGGACCTGTAGTGGTTTTCTACGTGGTACAAGGCTAAGCGAAGGCATTTCAGTGCTTTGTGTGTGTGTGTGTGGGGGGGGGGGGGGTTGCTTAGGCTAGCAGGTAGTAGTAGACGACGTAGAGCAGAGCCATGGCGGCGCAGTAGAAGAGCAGGAAATCTCCGGCCAGCAGCGGGGACTGCGGGGGTCCGTCCTCCAGGCCCAGCAAGGCCTCGACGCAGCTCAACACGCGGGGCGGCTTAGACAGAAGCACATCAGAGCACACACACATGTCCGTCTGGACAGGGCAAAAAGGAAAAAAAAACAAAACAAAAAACAAGACACGACAAGGAAGTGTTAGAAGCAGGGGAAGACAAAAGCCAAGTTTGGACCGGCGACCGGGGCGTTTTGAAGCCGCTCGTGTCGTCGGTCCAACTGTGACGAGCAACACACAACACTTTATACAGTTAGAAAGCAGTCACAAGTTTCCCGAGCAAAGTCGGCCCGGCGTTGCATCGAAAAGAAGAGTCGGTGCTTTGTCGCCATCTTGTGGCTTCGACGCATATTGACGTGCCCCCTTTTGAGCGGGCCGTCCGTCTCTTCCCAGTGAGAAATCTAGTCGCTTGAAAGGTGCGATTCAAGTCCAAGTCATGAGCATTGCTACTCTACCTCGGGCACGCCCAGCTTGCGGCAGGCAGCGATGAAATTCTCCACGTTGAGTCGACACTTGGCTGAACTCAGTTTGGGCTGAAAGACAACAAAGAAAGCGTCGAAAAGGCCCCGATTCACTCAAGGGGAGCATGCGCATGCAAAGACACAAGCTCATCGACTCACTGGAACAAACCAGATCAAACGAAGCAATGACCTTTTTATCGGTGACATATGTTAGTGCTCTCTTCCGATTCCGTCTGGTCAAACTTTGTTCTGCAGTGGCGGTCCCAAATTGTCCATCATTAACTCATTCAATCGCAGCCATTTTCACTGGAGCAACCCCCTCAATCCCAGCGTTTTACTGGATTTTGACTAATCTTCCAAGGCCCACAGAATATTTGGTTCTAACGCTACATAAATATGGAGCCTACCAAAATAAAGTTTAGACTCTCTTCTTTCAGCAGAAAAAAAATGTTTCTATCTTTTTCCATTCTTCAGCAATCGGCATTACAAAATGGCTAAGTTTCATGAAAATGGCGATTCCTGGGCAAAAAATGGAGAAAAAGAGCTTTATGTAAAAGCACGCATTTCAAGCACGTGAGGCATCACTGCCACCTACTATTTATTCACAGATTGCATTAGACCCTCCTCCTCTCTATGACGCAAAAAAAAAAAAAAGACAGAGTACAAGTATGTCCTTGGTAGGCATGGCCGAATTTTAAAAAGACGTACAAGTACGTCTTTTGGAATGAAAGAGATAAAAAGAGGCCCCACCTATAGGGATTTTTTTTTTAGGCTGATGCCAACCGTGATAAACTCCGATCCCCGATTCATCGCCCGACTCATTTCTTATCCCTGTTTCTGTCTCTCGAGAGAGAGACAGCGAGAGGATTTTTTTTTTAGGCTGATGCCAACCGTGATAAATTTCGATCCCCGATTCATCGCCCGACTCATTTCTTTCCCTGTTTCTGTCTCTCTCTCGAGAGACAGCGAGAGAGCGAGAGAGAGAGATATATGTGTGTGGGATGGGGGGAGGGATTTCTGGGATCAACCAGGAGCATCGTGTCCACTTAATATGTGAAATGAGACGCACCACAGCTGGGGACGGAACGTGGATGATGGACACAGAGCGCGCTCGAACACTGTTGACCAGCTGGCAGAGGACGGTGCCGTCGCACAGCGCCTCCGCCAGGTCCTCGCCGAGCGTGATCTTCAGGCGCGCTTCCAGCGTCTGTCAAACAACATCGTGAGCGAGCGGCGACACATTTCCAAATGAAAGTCAAACGATCCGGCTCACCTTGCGGAGCTGCGCGGCGTCTGCGCTTTCTTGGTCGGGCGAGCGCACGGTGGCGCGGGATTCGCTCCTGCTCATCTCGCTGAAGGGCAAACCTGCGGACAACGCAGATAGCGGCATCGCCGGCCGGCTCTTGCTGAGCTCACCGCTTGGGTTTATTCGGCCCTCACCTGCGGGTCGGACGTTGCTGCGGGACGACGTGCGGAAAAGGAAGCTGTTGGGTTTCTGGTTCGGCGCTGAGGGCGGAGACGCCGCTCCCTCTGGAAGAGATTTTATTCCTACTTTGGTACATGGCTGAACAATTTGGAAAAACAATCTCATTACGACTTCTTTTCCTCCATTTTGTCATTTCCTAAGCAATTCTGTTCCTCTGTATTTCAATTCAACAGCACTACAATATAAAGCAGGGGTCCCCAAACTACGGCCCACGGGCCGGATACGGCTCGCCTCCACCTTTTGCCTGGCCCCCTGAACAATGGTAGAGATGCATTATTGTTTTCTTTTTTTCTCTCTCTTTCAATGTGTCCACATAATTGAGACTTGTACACGCATGGAACTGAACATTCTACTCCACCTCCCTCCCTGAAAAAAAATAAAACAATCCTGGACACACCCGTCAAATAAAACGGAAAAATGGTCAAATGATTAAGTCAGAGAGAAACGGATTGGTTATTATTATGATGAAAGTAGAAGACAAAAAGTCTATAATTAAATCTAAATATAAGTATATTAAAAATGGGTGAGCGGGGGTGAGTCCAGGTTTTGCTTTTTTTTTTTGCTTTTAGCTTGGCTAGCATCCTCCTGTTGCCCACCTCCTCCAGAGTGTCCAGAGAGCAGCCCAGGACAAGATGAAATGAATATGCTTTCTCCCTTTCATCATTTTGCTGCTGTAAATTAGGAATTTCTCCATTGTGAGACAAAGAAAGGTTTTCTTATCTTATGTTATTTTTTTTTGATTAATAGTCTTGTTATTTATTTTCAGATTTTTTTTTCCCTGTCAAAATCCCAGAGAGGGTTAATGCTCAGGTTATGTCTGGATTTTGGGAAAACAATAAATGTTTGTGTTGAGACACCTCTGCGATCGTCACACTTTTTGTTACAAGTTGAGCCCGGCCCCCCCATCATGGAAGGGAAATGTTATTTGGCTCCCCCCACAGGAAACGGTTCGGGGACCCCTGATATAGAGCATCAGATTTGTCAAAAGTAAATGTTGCGGCCTATAGCCAACAGGGAAATCCTTTTCCTCCACCCGGACGATATCAAAGTACCTGTTCCGCTCCTGGTGCGTTGAAGAGAACACGGAGCGGCGGCATGTTCGGTGCTCTGAAGGAAAGGCGAGGCAACGGTGAACAAGGTTGCGTGTTTGCAGCGCGCAGCTCGAAGGAGGAGGAGCACAACTCACTGCGCGTCCGGTTCGGAGGGCGCCGTGGGAGGGACTGCCTTCTGGAGACGGGCCGCTAGAGGGAGCCAGAAGACCTTTGATGAGCAGGGCAAGTCGTCATCGCGTTCGACGTGATCAAATCTCAACTCACTCGGAGCGACTACTTCCTGTCGGCGCTGCAGAGGCCACAAGACTTCCTGTTTTACTGAATGACTTCAGCAAGCTGCAGCAAAAAACACAGACGCGGATCATGACATCAGCACGATGGAGCTAATCCAGCCTTTTGGAGCCAGCTCAAATCTTCAGCATTCATGTTTGCATCAAAACAGTTTTGGTTTTGTCCTCTTGTGACTGTCGTTTAATATGCGATTATTCTTCCCCATAGATTATTTTTTTAAACAATAACAAATAATAAACAAATCTGTTTTTCAATTCCCACTATCAGATTGATCATCCGCTATGTGTCTGCAGGTAACGTTGCCCCAAACACTTTGGAATTCATCCCGCCGTTTTTACGCATCCCTGCATCTGAAGCCGGAAGCGCGCCCACGGCCCGCTCCTCTCACCGTGACATGATCATTGAGGCCGGGTGAAAATCCAGAAACATTTTCAAGCAACGCCGTTTGAGACATTGTCTTGCAGAAATATCCAAAGACACTTTACCCCGTCCGTCAGACAATTCGGAATAGAATCAAGTTTAGTACCTGGCCTTCTCCCCCTGCTGCTGCTGCTGCTGCTGCTGCTGGCGCTCTCGCTCCTGCCAGATGAGCAGCGTTCCTGGCCGGCGGCGCTCTTCCGTGGTGGGGCTGGAGGGGGACTGGGGTGACGGCGAGGCCAACAGCGGCGGCTGCGCTGGGGCAGAAACTTCCACATGAAGACTGGACCTGCACCAAAGAACGCAGGAAAGAAAACGACAGCGTCAGAGCCAAGTTCCATACAGGTATGAAACCGACAGTGCATTTCCACCGAAAGCCCAAGCAACATCGCTGACTTTTTGTCGGGTCATCGGCCGGGCACAAGATGAATTTTTGTGAGGTTCAATTCTGATAATTGGCAGCGGAGTAAAATTCGGATCGATTATTAATCGTCCAGTTAATTGAAAAACATGTATGAAATGAATCAAATAACTTTTGAACTTGTGTTAACAAAGGAATTACAGGCAAACATATGCAGTCATGTTTGCCAACACTTTGTCTTTTAAATTTCAGGGCAATTTTACAACAGGGAGAAAAATCTGCTCATTTTTTGGCCATTATCTTTGTCTTAGGTGCTAATGTATTCATGTGTGTGCGTATAAACAGAGAGCGAGAGAGAGAGAAATGAGCCTGCTTCATAAAACGTGGAGAAAAAAAAAAGAAGCAGTGTGACTATTTTTCCTCATGGCATTGACACTTGCCATTGTGTGATCAATGTGAAAAGCTGCGGAGAGCAGCGGACAGAGGTGAGGTAACGTCTGCCCGACAAGAGTGTGCAATGGGAACTGCCGTCTATTGACTTTCCCCCGGCTCTTCAAATATTGTGCGGAGTGACCTTGCGAGCGCACGCGGACAGCGCCGCGGGAAAAGGCTTCATAAGGGCGCCGACCGCAGGTCAAAGATCACGAGGGGACATACCGGTGTATCGCAGCGTCCTTGTTATTGGACAAAGCGGTTCTCTCCTTGGGCCCCTGCAAACCAGTGACACAATCAAGAACAGAAACAGGATGTTGCGCAATCCGCATCTTTTGCCTCATACCGGCGCGGCCAGGGCCGCCGGACGCTCCGCCTTCATGTCCTCCTCCTCTTCCTCCGTCACGCCGCCGTCACCCGCTCGGCCGTTGACTAAGGACGCAGCAGAATGAGGGTTGAAGTTTTGCAAGCGCGCAAACGCGACGCAGAAATCAGAAAGGTCGCGTTGTTGCCAGACGCAAATGGAGGAGCGACGACTTGGCTTGAGTATTCGGATCATGTGTCACACGAGTCACTCACCGCATTACGAGACAAGCCGATCAAACTAAGTCATGTCAAGTGAAAGACGTGATTTCTTTTCCCAAGTCCCGGAGAGCCACAAGAGATGGCTGACAGAGCCGCAATCGTTGCGGAAGAGCAGGAAGCACACCGGAATTGTCTTTTTTTTGGCCCTTATCACGAGACGTCCTTCACTTTTTAAAACAAGATCATTGTGTGTTTATTTTTGTTGATTCATTCTGGTTATTTTTTTAGGATTTGACCTCACTTTTATAGAGGAGGTTTGTTCGTTTGAAAAGGCTTGGTTGAATTTAGTTTGATTGATGTGGCCCCGGATGCCTCATCGTCCGTCCGGGAAGAATTGAACACGGGCATCTCGTCCTCACCTTTGTTGGCTTCGACAGGAGATTCCTCCTCCTCGTCGTCGTCGTCCTCCCTTTCTTCCTCTTCGAGGTTTCTCTGGTCTCTGCTGAGCTCAGAAATGCGGAGGGAGCGTTCCGAGAAGTCATCTGCCGACTGGGCACGCGCACGCAGTGAAGCAAGGGCTCGGTCATGAGAGCGGCAGGCGGACATTGTTGCGCGACGACGGCTCCGGGTCAGGACTTGCCTCGTTGCCGGACCACCTCTTGCTGCCGCTGTCCACGCTGTTGAAACCCGAGTCCGGCCCCCCGAACAGCTCCTGGTCAGACAAACTGCAAGAGGACGACGGGTTCTCCGTCACGGCGGGGGTCGAGCAAAGGCGGCGAGGGGCCGCAAGTCACTGACCAGCCGTTGAAGCCGGTGGGCCGCAGGTGCCTCTCCAGCTCCTCCTGGCTGCGCTTGCAGGCCTCCATGTTGAGATACTTGAAGATGTGGTATTTGCCCTTGGAGCAGATCTGCGCGGGGGGCATCTGGAGCGGGTTGTTGTCCAGAGAGATGCTCTGAAGGTGGCGCAGGTGGCGGTAGCACAGGGGCACCTGGGTGATGCGGTTGCAGGACGCATCCAGGCGGACCAGAGGGAGCTCCGAGATTTCTGGACGCGGGAGAGGGAGGGCAATTTCGCGCTCGGCTTCTTCTCAGGGAGCTCACTCGCCATTTGCTCTGCGTACCTTCGGGCAAGGAGGTCAGCTGGTTCCTCCTCAGTTTCAAGTCCCGCAGGCATTCCAGCTGGCCCAGCTCCGGCGGCAAACGCCGCAGCTCGTTGCAGCTCACGTCCTGACCGGCCCCCAGCATTAAAAAAAAAAAAAAAAAAAAAGGCACGCCCCAAAAGCACGCTATCGGGTGAAAGCCGTCCGAGCGTTTGTGCGTGCGTGTGTGTGCGTGTACGCTACCAGCTGTCGCAGGTGTGCGAGGGCAAAGACGGAGGCGGGCAGCGAAGACAGCTTGTTGTTGCTGACGATGAGCACTCGCAGGAGGGGAAGCTCAAACACGGACGCGGACAAACTGGACAACAGGTTACGGCTGCCGAGGCAAAAACGCAACGATTCGGATTCTTCACGTGGCCACACATTGTTGAAAAATGAGCTCCTTGTGCGTGCGCGCTACCTGAGATTGAGGTAGGTGAGGGCCTGGAGGTTCCCCAGGCAGGGGGAGAGCGAACGCATCCCATTGTGGTAAAGACTGAGCGTCTCCAGTGAGATCAAGTGACCGAGCTCCTCTGGCAGCTCACAGAGACGATTTTTTGACAGATCTGCAAAAAAAAGCACAAATTCAGCCGTTGTCTCCCATTCCCGCACTGCTCTTGACGGGCGGCCGCTTCACTTGTCTGACTTAAAGAGAATTTGGCACAGTTGTACAGTTTAGGTCGAAATGTTTTGGCATTGGGGGGGGGGGGGGGTTACTCTATTGATTCAGCTCAAATGCCAAGTTCCATCAAAGATGGATGCTTGGAAGAACAAACGGTTCAAAAATACGGCTTGCAAATGTAGTCGAAATAAAACTGAATTGCACTTAACAGAGCTACTTGATGGATTTTTTTTTTTTTAGAGCAGGTTTGTGAGTTTTTATTCTACCCACAATCTTGCTGCTGTCGACTGTAAATTTCCCCAGTGTTGGACAAATAAAGGATATCTTGAATTTCTTTCAAAAAATATTGGACGGTACTTTTTATTACAAAAGGGAAAAAAGGTCACAATAAGCATTGTGGAAAAAAGGTAAACTACAATTCCCAAACAACGTTCTACTGTACAGTCTAACATAAATACCGCACCCCCCCACAAAAAAAAAAAACAGCACATTCAAAACAAACCTTGTAAGCTTATGTGTGAAATGAGTTCTAGTGTATTTTTAAACGTGAAATGTCATGTTGGTGGATTTTCATTTTATTCTTCTTGTTTTTATCCTCCCGCCCCATTCATGAAAATGTTTTTCCCCCACTTTTAGTGATTCCATTTTTCTTCACTATAGTCACCTTGCCACTTTCACACTTTTAGCGCACTTCAGATTGGTGAAGAATTCTTCCACAGCGGGAGTGACTGACCAACACTATTATGGGAAAATATGAAGTTGATGAGCAAATCTTCGACACATGAGGTGACGATATGGAGGTACGCGCTTGAATTAAAAAAGAAAGAAAGAACATAAAACAACAATTACTTGTCAATGTAATTGTCAGTTTGACAACGGCTGCAATCAGCTCTCAGCGGTGAGTGGAAAAAGCTCCATCGAGCACTTTGCTTTCGCTAACACGGACGGCAGTCAGCGGCAGAGTGCCCGTTGGCTGTTTACTGATTTGTTTTGGGAAAGCGCCGTGGCTGGAGGAAGCCATTTTGGATTACAAGCATGGAAAAGGGATCATACGAGGCACGCACCGGGACGGATTGGGACGCTGCCGTACCGGAGTGATGATTCTTTGAGTTGCGGGGGAGCCGTGCGAACAAAAGGTGGTGGGAGGGGGGGGGGGGGGCGGGGGGAAAAAAGGGGGGGGGGGGGGGGGGGGGGTCGGCGAGAATGGTCTTCACTGGGGGATGGAACGCCGAGGGGCCGTCTGCTATCCGGAGCCATTGTCCGAGAGACAGCCGAGATGCGGGAAAGTGCCCGACACCAAATCCATTCAACTTCCACTCCAAGTCAACCCAAACGCCTCGACGCAAGCACGTTCACTCAACTGCTGCTCAGTGCCTCGTTTTGTCAGTGGGCCCCATCACACCTTATCATTGGATGAATAAAATACACACTTTTTTTGTTGTTTTTTTTTTCGTTTGTTTCCAGATTCGATAAATGATCACTTAGATGCGCGTGTGCTGACATTTTCAACAACATTCCGTCGTGCTGCTTCGTTCCCTCTCCTTTTCCTCGTTTATCTCATGAGGCGCTGCTGTGTCGAGTAGCGCTAATGCTAGCCCAGATGGCAGCAAGCACGCGCACGCCGGCTCAAGGCTCTCTCTTCTATCAGTTCAAGAAAAACAGATGAAGAAGAAGAAGAAGAAGAGACCAAGTTGTTGGATTCTCTGATGACATGCTGACACCTCACTGGTCTGAATGCGAGTTGCCAGCCGCTGGCGCTCAGCAACGCTACGCGTTGCCGTGATACAGCACCGCACAAGTGAGCGGGCTGCGGTCGAGCTGGATAAGCTGCCAACGTATCAAGGCGCTGAGAAATATAATCCTGACACACACACACACACACACACACACACACACACACACACACACACGTCGGAGAGATACATCGCGCGAGAGTTGCCGTCGTTCGTCCACTTCAACATCCATCCGCTCAGCCGGCCTTTGTTTGGCCGGCGTTTCCTTTTATTTCAATGTGGGTCACCGGACAAGGGATGAAAATGCTGCACGGCCCCGCAAGAATGTGGGACAACATTCCTGATCAAGCGACGCGACAGGGAGTCCGATTCAAGAGGAACGGCCAGGAAGGGATTTTCCTGAACCAAAGGATGCTAGTGGTGCTGTCCTGCCGTTTCTACGCGTTTTGACATGATGTTTAGATTGAAGCTACGATTTGGACATGACCGTCGCTCATCTCTTGACGGCGACTGAGCGGGAACAGGTGCTTTTCTAAAGCACGCATGGACCCGATCAAAAAACGGACGCCGGCGGCCTCTCGCTACAGCCTGGAGTTTCAAGGTCGCGGGAGTAGCTTTGAAAGTGACACGTATCCTCCGCAAACAACCAGGTACAGACGACGTACAGCGTGCTATGGATGTCTCTAGATGGTGGCGGTGGGACTTGAGTATCCCCCGAATGCGACCGATGGACCGAGATTACAGCAAGTCCCGGGTTTACCACATACTCGACCTACAACGTTTGGACTAAACAGAGCACCTCGTCCGCCGTGGCTGTTTGTGCGACGGGAGTACCTATCTTTGACCGCACACCGGCGAACATGGGTCGAGACTTCAGTCGGTCGACGGTGGCGACCATAATTAAACTCATTCAGTACCGGCCAATTCTGGACCAAGTCTGAAAAGACGTTTAAAAAACGTCTTTTGGAGTGAATGAGTTAAGGACCGAGACCGTATTTTGGCACACTTGAAGGGTTTGGCCCATCATGAGGCAACGTTCTTCGATCCTTGCCCAGATGGAAAAGACGACTAAGGTTCTGGATCGAGGTGTTCCGAGCACGACCCACCGGCACCGGGGACGACGCGGGAGACACGCTGGAGAGACGACTTGTCTCCCGGCTGGCCTGGGAACGAGCGCCTCGGGATCCCCCGGGACGAGCTGAGAGAAGTGGCCGGGGAGAGGGGGAAGTCCGGGCTTCCCCGCTCAAGCCGTTGCCCCCCGCTACACCGCCCCGAATAAGCGCCAGAGAAGGGATGGATACCGCGCCGCCGTTTCAGGAACGTGATTTCATGACGCATGTTGATGCTTTGCAGAATATTCAAGAGCAACTCAATCGAGCCAAATGGAATACAAAAGTGTCCCTTTGAATTGTTCTGCGCTAGAAACGGTATTGGCTTGAGTACACGTGAACGTTTCGGTTTTATGGATCGGGCTTCTGCAAAAATCAAGTCGCACAAAGGATTAGAAAGTGAAGCCTATCCACCGAGGAGCAGAGTTTGTTATTTTGCCTCCAAATTGCAGCCTTTGCCATTTGTGACATTGCCTTCGACGACACTGCGCGGTTGATTTCAATTTGGTTCGCCGTGCGGCCCGACTATCGATGAATACGAATCCCTTTGGAGAGGCGTCAATTATTCACAGAGTTCCACAATTTGCAGCAGGACCGGGTCGCTATGCCGGGCATGACGCCATCTTCTTCCGGAGCCACCTGAGACGACTTTGAAATGGCATCAACACTTTTGGGGATCTCAATTGGGCTCGTAACTCCTAACGTCGGGCGCCCTAAACATTTTGGCGAGGGCTGAGCGTCGAACACTTTGCACTTCCTCAAGCGCGGCTCCTATCGAGTGTTTCTACATCGTCATGGCCAAAGAGCGCTCGAGCGGAAGAGAACAGCGCTGAGTGATGTTCAAATGGACGGCCGATGATGCGGGGAGTGTCATGTCCTTGGCCAACAAATCCCCTTTGACTTGATTTCCTCCCACACACTTCCATCTCCTCCTCCTCCTCCTCCTCGCACAGCTTTCACTCCCACTGACTGACTTGCAGCTCGGGGCAAACGCTGCAGATGACAAATATACATTTTTGCATCGCAAGCCCACTCCAAGAAGCCCGCTTACGTTTTGCCTCACCGGTAATGTGAAAGGCCTTCGTCATCCCACCAGTGAGCAGAAATTTCAGACTGTTGTCCATTATCAAAAAAAAAAAAAAACGCATCAATTCATTTGCTAATCGATTCATCGCTGCGCCTGGAAGAACGTACGGTACCGTGGGCCCCTATTTTCAACGGCCAAGTTTTCTGTGTTTTGTGGGGCGAGGGCGTGAAGGGATCGATGGCATTCAGTCCGAAACCGAATCCTGCGCGGTGAAAAGCGAGAGACGTGCAAACAGACGGAGGCGATGGCGACACGTTCCGATCTCCGTGGCAACGGCTTGCGCGCGGCTGAGCTGTGAAAACACAGCGGCCGCCCACCGCAGAGAAAGCAAAGTATGTGCATCGCTGAAACCAGGCGCCGGCGCGCCGCTGGGTCATGTGACCCGTCCAGGCTTCGGCGGCAGGTTTCATTTCTGGACGCCCAAACGGAAGCCGAACTGGAAGGGCCACAAACGCAGCACATCACCAACTTCCTCCGTGCGGCGGGTTCATGAATCAGCCCGGTTGCGTAACCGCCGCCGTGCCTTTCATTATTCACCAGCGAGTCCCCGCGACACACACACACACACGCACGCACGCACCCACACACACCAGTCAGCTCCTTGTGCTGCGGCCAGCAAACTAAACAAAACGCCAGAAGTAGCGCCTTGAATCCGGCCTCGCGCCAGTCAAGTGAGTACTTGTAGGCGGACTGCCTGCGCTCTTGTTACCTCCCCAGGGACTGGGGAGGGCTCATCCCCGCCCCCCCCTTCCAAGCAGCTGCCACGGAGCTTTGAAATACTTTCAAAGTGCAACTCACGATCTGAATCATCGAGCAAGGCTGGGCCTCCGCGTGCGTGACTGAATGCCGCCCGGTGCTTCCGGGGTCAACTGCAAATCCGAAAAAAAACGAATCTGAAAAATGCTGCCACAACAGGCAGACGCATTGCTGACATCAGCGCATCGGTTGGGGCGGCAAGACCCAGTGTGCCGTTTCTAACGGCAAGACAACGCAAAGCGGAAGCGAACGGTGAGCC